CGCCGTTCTGGTGACAAACCATCACAATCACAGGCCCCGGCCTGCAGTCCTGCAGCCCCTCAGCCCCTTGCAGGGGTGACAGCTGGCAGCCGGCAGGACTCCCTTTGTCTCCAAGATCCCTCCCCATGGCCCTGCGACACGGACCCTGCGGGCGGTGGGGGGGGGTCACAGGTGGAGGTGACTTCCAGATGCAGGGCCAATCTCCCCACACACCAACCCTCCTGTGTGTAGGACCAGATCGGCTGCTGGCACCGGGGGGGGGTCCCCATTCTGGACCCCACCCTGATTCCCACCCCCAGCGGTACCTGGCTGGGCTGTGCTGAAAGGGGCTGTCTGTATCCTGGAGGCGACACTGACCCAAAGGAAGGGGCTGTAGCCCTGGCCTTATATAGGGGGGCTGGGCTGTGCAGCTGGGAGGGGCTGCCCCCCGGGGAAGGGAGCTGGAGGGTGGCTGAGCTTCTCACCTCGCTGCCCGGGCACCGTGCCCACCCTGAACCCAGGCATGCCTTGTGCCCAGCCCCATGGCCTTGTATGGGCTGCCCCAGGGGCTGAGCGTCACATCAAGCTGATTCCCTGACCAAGTGCTGAGTCGGGCTGGCAGGGACAGCTGGCCCTCCGCCCAGGACACGGGACCGTGGCAGGGGACGTCCCAGGCACGTAGAAGCCGCCCTCCCCTGGCCCTGCACTGGGCCGCCAGCCCTTCCTATGCCCAGACCTCTCCTCCAGCCCCCAGTGGCCTTGACCTGGGTAAACAGCGGGTCCTGAGCCCTGCACCTGGGGAAGCCTTGCAATAGCCCCCCGGGAGGCCCGGTTTCTGGTTTTGTGGAGACTTGCCCGTTGTCACCCAGCTATGGGGAGCACTTGGCCAAAGCCCAGGCCTGAACGCAGGGCAGTGTAAGCCCAGAAGCCTGTGCTTGGGTGCACAGTGAGTAGGAGGGAAACTGAGGCTCTCCTGAGTCGAGAGGATTGGAACTCGAGGCCAGGTTGGGGGAAGGGGTTGCCCCCCCCCCCCCCAGCCGCGGGGCTGACACTGGGAGATTTCCGCTGGGCTGGTGGGGAGGGGACAGGGAGGGACTCATCCTGAAGGGAGCTTATTTTTAGAGGGCGCTTCGCTGTCGCCTCTGCAAAGACCTAGACCCCAGGCGCTGGGGCTGGGGGGACACAGGGACAGGTGTTGGGGGTGTGGGGCCACGTGTCTGAGTTAATTATAACCCGGCGTGTCAGGTGTCCGGGGTGTCACCTCCTTACAAGGGCAGCCGCTGACCGGGGAGGCCGTCCCCGCCGCAGGGGAAGGGGGCTGGGCAGCCACTTGGATCAGAGCAGAGCACCCACCCGCTCCTTCCCGCCAGATCCGGGCGGAGCAGGGACACTCCACCATGACAGGGACCTGAAGGGCTGAGGAGCACATTCTGCGGACGCAGGGGTGGCTGGAGGAAGCTGCTTCCTCTGCCTAGAGGGCGCCAAGATTGCTGGGCAGGCGAGGCGAGTCCAGGGGCCAGGAGGAGTCCAGGGATCACCCAGGATTACAACCAAGAAGAGACCGTCCTTTTTCCCTCTGGGGTTCCTCCCTCCTCCCAGGTGTCCCCCATTTCTTCCCAGGCAGGTGGGGACTGACCTAGGGAAAGGGGGGCCTCTCTGCCTTTCCCCAGATTCCTGGTGGGGAGGGGGTGCTTAGAAAACTTTTCCTTGGGGCCCAGCCCCTGGTCTCTCCACCCACTGTCCCTTCCCACCAAGGTCAGAGTGGCAAAGCTCTCCTGCATGGCTAGGGAAACTGAGGCCCAGAGAACCAAAAGGAACTACACTGCAATAGTGAGGCATTTATCATGCCAACACTATTTTTAAATTCTATTTATTTATTTTGAGAGAGGGCGGGAGAGAGACAGGGAGCACGCAAGAGCAGGGGAGGCAGAGAGAGGAAGAGAGAGAATCCGAAGCAGGCTCTGCCCCGGCAGCACAGAGCCGGGCCCTGGGGCTCGAACCCACAAACCGTGAGAACATGACCTGAGCCGAAACCAAGAGTCGGACGCTTAATCCACTGAGCCACGCAGGCGCCCCTCAACACTTCTTTATTAAGCACTTACTGGGGAGACAGCAGAAAATGACCAAAACCACTGCCCTCATGGAGGTGACATTTTAGTGAGCGTGAAAAGTAAACATATGCTGTAATGTCAGGGGCCACAGGGCTCTGACAGAAAATCAAAGAGGGTAAGAGGTGAGAGCAATGGCACAGCAGAGGAGGTCAGGTCAGGCATGTCAGGGGAAGTGACATCTGAGCAGCGACCTGAGGGGGAGAAGGGAGCCAGCCATGTGAGGATCTGGAAGCGGAACAGCAGGTGCAAAGGCCCTGAGGTGGGAGTGGCTTGGAGTATCTGAGAGACAAGGAAGAGGCTGGAGGGCTGCAGCAGAGGGGAGAGTGGGAGGAAGAAGATGAGGGGATAGGAGCAGACCCATGGGACCCTAGGGACCATGGAGGAGTTTCCAGCACGCTGTGAGTGGATGGGAGCCCCTGAGGGCTGTGAACAAGGGAG